GGGGGGGGGGGTGGTAATTGAATGAATAATATAGATATCATAGTTAGTCTGTACAAACAGTTGCATTTGTAGGTCTCATTTTTAAAATAAAATAATCTACTAAAAAATTGATTTTTTTTAAGCAGAACGAAACCGGGGCTTAGACTCGTGGCTTGTGAATCGAACCTAATAGAATGACGAAAAGGGATTTATGTATTCTATCCCAAATTTACTTTGCAGGAGTAGAGGATGTAATAACAGATTGTAAGACGAGTAAGGTGATCGTGAAAGGTGAAAAGGCAGATCCGATTAAGGTTTTGGAAAGGGTTCAAAGGTAGAGCCACCGTCAGGTGGAGCTTCTATCTCCAATCCCAAAATTGCTGGCGAAAGAACCTGTGAAACCCGGAGAAAAAAGAGGTGGCTGAAGCAGAAGAGAAAAAACCAAGAGGTTTGAATTTCCTTTCGATGAATTTTAATGAATTTGTGGATTTGTTATAATAAAATTTCCCTTTTAATCTTTTATAATATCATAGTCAGTCTGCACAAGCAGTTGCGTTTGATATAATGATTAAGCTCCGGTTTCGTTCTGGTTGGATGTAATTTTCACTTTTATTTTTCCTCCAAATCACATAACTACAAGGTAATTGGGTGGGCCTCCAGGTGGGTGGTGCCATATTTAAAATCCTTCTTTACAAGGCAAATTCTCATTAATATGAATAATATTTTGGTAGTTTTTTTTACTACAAATAAATATACATAATGGAGTGGACCACAGAAAATACACTACACAATAAATACTTGCATTTATAATTTTCCTAACTATAGATATGTACTTAATAGGGACACTCATTAATTGTACATTCCTATGCATATTTAAGAAAAAACAAATTTGGACAAATGAACAAAAGCTTCAAGCTCACATGGGTTCTACAGACCTGGCCATATCACATTCCATTACTTCTTTAATGCCTTTTTTTTACCTTGTAGTTGTTGAGTTTGTTAATTGTTTTTTTCTCAAGATTGAAAAAGATTTTTTTTTTTTTGGTCGAGAAACGAGTAATTAATTAAAGGTTGAAACACAATTTTGCCATTTTTAAAGATGGTCAAATTATGGCCAGTCGCTTGAATTTTGGTCAACTGACGGGCATTTGGACGAAAACTATCTAGAGGTTCTATGCATATTTTTTTAAAGATTTGGGATTATCTATTACAATTTAAAGGTTTGGAGTCCATATGTACTTTTTTGGAAGGTTTGAGACCTCCGCTGCAAATTCCCTAATTTCCATGGTTAATATTATATTGGAATACATAAATTAAGGAAACAATTGGTTTTTACATCAGCATAGTTTGATCTTCATTATTTCCAAAATATATTTTCCTCTCTTCTTTTCAACCACACATTTTTCAATAAAATAATATTACAAGAAAATTCAAAAAAATTCTTTATATTTTAATCACACATTTTCCATCAATTTATTATTTCAAAATACACTCTTAGCCAAAAATTGGTTCAAACGGACATTTATGGTAGTACCAGTACAGTGTTTTCTGATTTTATACACAACAATTCTACTAAAAATTAGGTAGATCTCTTAGCTCCCGTTTGGCCCATATTATTTGAGACTATAATTTTTGAAATAATATTTTTTTCAAAAATGTGAGGTTAAAAATGAAGAAAATTTTTCGATTTGCATATAATATTATTTTATTGAAAAATGAATGATTGATAAGAAGAAAAAGAAAAAGAAAAATGAATTATAATTTTAACGGCGGCAGACGGGCTAACAGTCGCGCACAGTTCTAAAAGCGCTACTTTCAGTTAACGTATGAATCTGGTAAAGCACGCTTCTTTTGCACGTGCAACCTATACATGATGACATATCGAGTGCCTCTTAGATCTACTCCTAAACTCATCCTCACTTTTGAGTGTAGATAGAGAGAGAGAAAAACACGGTGAGAGTGCCAGTGTCTGAATCCATCTCCAGTCCATTTCCCAACCAGAGAAAAACCAATGGGGGAGGTGACTATATATGCATACGCATATACATACACACTCCGATGGGCTATGAAACTCATGTCTTGCGTGATTTTTTGCGTGTAGGAAGAAAAGAAACCAGAGGAAGCAAAGAAGCCTGAGGAAGAAATGAAGAAAGAAGAAGCCCCGAAAGCTAATGAGAAACAGGGTAATGAAAAGAAGGAGGAAAAGAAATCCAAGGAACCGCTGCCACCACCGCCGCCGCAAGAAATCATTTTGAAAGTCTACATGCATTGTGAAGGCTGTGCCACAAAAGTCCGCAGATGCCTCAAGGGCTTCCAAGGTAATTAGATCTTTCTTCATTTTTTAACATTGTTGTTTAGCCAAATTAGCTATAAAAAAAATTGATAAAAATCGAACTCAATATTTAATTTTAACCACACATCTTTTAGTAGATTTTCAACCACAAATTCATCAACTATAGTCAAAATCTACTAAAAATTTTGATTATTTTTTTTTAAGCAGAACGAAATGACGAAAAGGGGTTTATGTATTCTATCCCAAATTTACTTTGCAGGAGTAGAGGATGTAACAACAGATTGCAAGACGAGTAAGGTGATTGTGAAAGGTGAAAAGGCAGATCCAATTAAGGTTTTGGAAAGGGTTCAAAGGAAGAGCCACCGTCAGGTGGAGCTTCTGTCTCCAATCCCAAAACCGCCAGCGGAAGAACCTAAGAAACCCGAAGAAAAAGAGGTGGCTAAAGCAGAAGAGAAAAAACCAGAGGTTTATATTTCCTTTCGATGAATTTTGATGAATTTGTGGATTTATTATAATAAAAATTTCACTTTTAATCTTTTTTGTTTCTTTCATAGCCTCCGGTGATTACAGTAGTCTTGCAAGTTTACATGCATTGTGAGGCTTGTGCTCAAGTAATCAGAAAGCGAATACAGAGAATGGAAGGTGACTTCATTTTGATTAACGATTATATATTCTTATTACTTGACAATCTGTAAATTCTTTTAAGTGGAATAAAATATTTAATTCTTGAGATTCTGTCTGAATTCCTTCAAATTGAAGTCAATTTGATAAGTATGATTTTGTACTGCAAATCCAAAAGGAAAAAACTTATGAAAAAACTTCAAAAACGGTTGGAAAAGAAAGGTTACTTAAAAGTGATTTTTAAAGTTAGACAAACGCTTCACAGAGTAATATGTTAACACGGTCAAATTTTGATATGTAGGAGTGGAAAGTGCAGAGCCAGACCTAAACAGTTCACAAGTGACAGTAAAAGGTGTGTTTGAGCCTGAAAATCTTGTTAATTATGTATACAAGAGAACGGGAAAGCAATCGGTGATCTTGAAGTCAGAGCCAGTGAAGAAAGAGGAGAAAGAGAAAGACGGTAAAGACGAGAAGAAAGCCAAGAAGGGAGAAAAAGGAGCCAAGAAAGGTGGTGAAGAGGCTAAAGAAAACAAGGATGGAGGCGGGGACAATGGTGGCGCTAGCGGTGGCGGTGAAGAACCACCGGCTAAACCCGAGGTCGAGCCCGAGGTCGACACCATACTAGAGTTGAAAAAGAATGAACTCAACTATTACTACCCTCAAAACTATCAGATTCAACCTCAAAGATTTGTCCAAGAGAATTATGAATATGCTCCTCAGATCTTCAGTGATGAAAACCCTAATGCATGTTCTGTTATGTAAATTTTGGGATAGGGTTAGGGGGCACATGGATAACTGTTCCATGGCCTTTCACTCTCGACAAGTTGTGGTGCTCTACATGTGGCCCTGTCTAGGGTTCCATAGTATAAATCTTGTCCTACATCTTAAAACATGGAAATCGTTTTTCTTTATTATAATTTTTGTCACATACCATGAATAAAAGTACTATAATATATACTAATGTATTGTATATATTTTAAATCTCGTACGGTACTTGACCTTTTGTTTTTTATACTATTAACTTTTTTGTTAAGAACTAGCATTCTTACCTAAAAATACTCAAAATTAATGTACATTTTATTTTAATTTAAAATAGCTTTTCAATTAAAAATGATGGATCGACAGTCGACTCAGCTTTGGGAAATGATGGTTGCCCCCATGATGTAAGGGGGTTGTACACCATACTGTACAAGCATGGTGTACATGTAGCATTTCCTCTCAGCTTCACTATATAATATATTTAGCTTTTATTTGAGTCACATAAAGTTTTCATTATCATTCTTTTACTCATTTTTAATCACACATTTTTCAATAAAATAATATTTTTCATCACATCAATAATTTTTCCTTCTTTTTCAATCATACATTCTCCATCAATCTACTATTCCAAAATACATTCTTCCAAAATAATGTGGCTCAAACACACTCTTGATGTTTATCTAAAATAGGTTTTTGACGATAAAACAAACGTGGTGGTGTGTTTTATTACTAGCAAGCCACTTATAAGAGGACACCAAGTGATGTCAAAAACAATAAGCTTATAAAGAAATATAGATTGAGTGACGGAATCAAATTTTGTAGGATCGAATCATGCTTCATGTCATCATTTGCATAATTATATATACTTGATAGGCTCAAGGTCATTGTCTGTACGAGACTTGATGATTCTAACTTTTGTCATAACAATTTATCGGATCATCTATATCTCCATTAATTGCGTCATACTATGTAAAGCTAGAGCGCCCAATCCACGATTTCGTTTCTTTCAACCTTATTCATGACTCAACCTCGATATGCTTCAGCATGATATAAAAATCGAGCAAGGAGTGGAGCCAGGGAGGAAAAAAAACTATACTGAACTGATACATAGAATAAAATTCACAAAGCTCAATGCTGCCCCTTCTCCTCCCCTGAACACATGCCCAACCTCGCCTTACCAACTAAAAATACTGTTGTTCTAAAAGCATGGCATTAACGATTTGCCTCGATCAAGGCGAATGACAATTTGGCATGTATGGCAAATTGTAAAACCACCGAGCATGATTGTACAATTAAATCTTCCATAGTAGTTTAGCTCAAATTTGGTGCAGTTAAAAATCTAATTTTATTAGATTTGGATAAAAGTTTATAAAATATAAGATCAAAAAATTGATAAAAATTATGAATTTCATGAAATATTTAATTAAAATTAATTTTAAACTTTATCAATTTTTTAAACTGCTTACTTTCAATCAATTCTACCTCAACTTACAAAAGAAAAGAAAAAGCTATTTCTATCTACAACTAGAATTTTCACTTTAATGCACTGTTGTACTGTAATTTTTACTTTTTCACGTCTCTTTATATCTTTATCATGCCATATCTGGAGAATGGTACTGCTGATGTAACAAAAGATTATCTCATCATTATGAGCCTGTTTGGTAGGAATTTTTGGGGGAAGAATTGATTTTGAATAGTGATATGATGGGAAATGTGTGGTTGAAAAAGAAGAAAAGAATATTGATGTGATGAAAGATATTATTTTATTGAAGAATGTGTGGTTGAAAATGAGAATTGATTTAAGAATTGATTTGAGAATCAAAAACAAACAGGGCCTATATATGCTTTTTGTGAATCATAGGACCATGATACGACACCGCATAGTTGAATGGTCGGATCATTATTTTCACAAGTTCTAATCATTGAGGGGCATATACATTTACACACACAGTATGACATGATCTGTGCCGTTGATTCAGGGCTTGTACAATCAAGCACCAGTTTCATCGCTGGAGTGTTTTCCCTAGTTTGAAACAATGTGGTCACGTTCATGTCTGAACAGGGTCACGTAGGCCCCGTTTCAAATAGGGGGCAATGTGACACCGGCCTTCTCGAAATGGTTCTTTAAAATTAGCAATAATGTAAATTGTCTCGACTATTGTCTAGTCGAGATGAGAACTTTGAGAGCAATAACCGACTTGCCATCTCAATCTTGTGAACCCCTTGTTTTGCCATGATGTTTCAGAAATCGTAACACACTAATTGCTATAAGACAAGAATCGTGCATTTTTTATTTTTTCGAGTAGACAACACTATTGTAGTCCTTTTTTTTTCCCTTTTTTCGGATTGATAATATTACAGTAAGTGAGTGAAATGTTTAGTGGCTAAATCACATCCTCGAATCAAATCAAGCATGCTTCTCTATCACATCCACCAAAAAGAACATTACATATTTCACAAAATGATCAATACACTGGAAAAAAAAAGTCCAGCATATACTCCAATAGAGAAATATTTGTGCTAAATCAAGAAGAATTCAATAATTGGTTTATGATTATAATAAAGTTGCTCAACGATATTGTATTAGCCTCAATGTTGCCACTATCATGGAAACGGAAAATTCAAATACTTCTTTTAATTGCATCGACGATTTTCAAAATGTTATTAGAATATTCTTCAATATCTCAATTATTCACCGACTATGCATGGGAAAAACTCAAAACGATGTTTAGCCCCTGTTTGACAACCATTAATTGGGAAAATCAGAGTTTTGAATATTGATTTTTTAGGAGAATATGTGGTAAAAAAATTGGTAAAAATCTTGAATTTAAGTGCTGAATATTTTATTGTGTGAATATATAGTTGAAATTGGAGCTTAGTTAAGTTTGAAAAGTTTACCTAAAATCGAAAATAAGTAAGTTACTTATTTTATTTTATTTACTTCTGAAAATGAGTAGTTTTTCACATAAAATAAAAATAACATATTCAAATATGGTTACTACCAACCTTTTTTTTTTAACGCTTAGCCAAACGAGTTCAAACTCAAGATTCTTGAAAGTAGGGTTTTAGCCCACAATTTTTTATTTTTCAGAAATTTATTGCAGTCCTAAATATTCACTAATCTTGGTATATTCCCAGTGAAAAATGATCCCTGATACATGTGCCCAATATTTCATCATAAATTCAGAATATATAAACAAAAAGAAAAAAGAAAATAATTTTAAAATTTTTGGATGTTACAAAATTTGTATGTAATATGGCTCATTCCACAACATTTAAAAGTTCATGAGCTCCATTTAGCAATCTTTTGAAAAGTAAAAAAACTGCTTTTCTTGTTCTTTATAAGAGTGTGTTTGGTAGAGATTTTTGGGGGAAGAATTGATTTTTAAATAGTGATATGATGGGAAATGTATGGTTGAAAAAGAAGAAAAAAGTATTGATGTGATGGAAAATATTATTTTATTGAAAAATGTGTGGTTGAAAATGAGAATTGATTTACTGTAGAAAAT